TGCAATGCGCAGCTACCTAACCCCCCTCAATCATCGGTGAACGAAACTGTAGCAGCTACAACCAGTGTACGACCAGTACGCGGTTCTTACAGCTGACAATGATGATGATGAGACTGCGGATCGATCGAGATGAAGCGTAGTATCCCCAAATGCCGATAGAGGTGATCAACAGATTACCGAAATCAGGCAGAGTCATTGACTGGCCAAGGTCCTTGATGAGACTGCGGGATGATCGAGATGAAGCGTAGAATCCCCAAATGCCGATAGAGGTGATCAACAGATTACCGAAATCAGGCAGAGTCATTGACTGGTGAGCCAAGGTCCTGAAGCTCATGAACGCGTCACCGACCGACCCCAACACTAGAATGTCCCGTCCAGTCAGGGCTACATAAACACCATTTCGGTGTTTAACGAACGCATCATAGATAAAAAGCGTTCAGCTGTAGCCCCCTTCCGGTGCCTAGCTGCCATGCCACCCGAAGGAAGCACGAGGGCTGGGATACTGCCAGGTTGTCCAAGCCTAGACAGGGGAAGTCGAGTGGCGGAGGTCGGATTCGAACCGCGGACCTTCAGGTTAGTAATCCGCGCTCTAACCACTTCGGCCATCTCGCCATCTCGCATCATAGATAGACTGACGGCATGATTTCATGAGGTTTTTCAAGTAAACGTAAACGTGGTTAATAGAATAAGGATATCAATCGCCGGCGACTGGATGAAGTGGTCACAAAAAACACCCGACACGAAAACAAATTAAGTTTCTTGATGAGAGGTATATTAATAAGGCTCTCAAGGAGTTACAGGTCATACGCAGCCAAGCATCAGTGTACAACAGTGGTGACAGGCTGTCGATGATGATGATGACTGGTCATACATGAGATGATTGGCGAGGTCAGCATGTCACGGCCGTTCAAAAGCTTCTGATATATCTAGTGCTTCCTACTCGGATTTACGAAATGACTCTGCGGTAGAGGACCATATCTGCAACATGCACGCTGGTAGCTCAACCGCGGAGCGGTTGCCCGTGCATCCGTATTGCCAGTCATTGAGGAGGACGTTATCTTCAGGATTCAGCAAGACTGCTTCAGAAAGTTTAGATAATAGGGGTTGGGTGGGCGATGATTGCTTAGGTGAGATCAGCAACCAAATTTCTGAATGACTATGTGGGATATCTTTCGAATAACTTCTGTAAAGAATATAGTCATCAAGGAGAATGTGCGTCTCCTCATGTGTATCAGCATCAAGGTCACCGAAATGTGGAAGAAGACCTGGTGTAGTTGTGATATACTGCTCACAAGGTTGCTGAAAACTCTTCGATAGCACACGACAGGTTTCGTCCTTCTTGGGACTCATCAGATAGGCACAGTACCCGAGTTTCCGTCAACCTTATGTTCGAATTGAACCCAAATTGCACGAAATTAGTATTGGCATACCAATTTGGTAGGCAACCAACTCAGTTTACTGTTTTGGGTTTCCATACTTCGTCGCCAGGTCATACACTGTCTACCTCTCCGTCCTTCCCACTCAGCGCAGGGCTAGGCGAAAAGAGCTTTGCGAGGTAGACGGTCTTCTCGCAGGCGGAGTACATGTCCCAAACTGCGTAACCAATGAATCGTGAGTATTTCATCTACTGTATGGGAGTCCCCTCTTCCTAAAACCACCTGGTGTAACCCGGTATCGCTAATCCGATGTCCATACC